ATTGACATCATTCAAATTACTCCAATAACATTTAAAGTTTAAGTGTTTGACAAACATGCATATAATATTACTCAGCTTCTTAATGTTCCAACAAGTAACAATAAAATGAGTAAGCCTCTACTAAATCATTTGAAATTTAGAAACATTTTTAGGGAAACATGAATAAAATTGAGAATGGAAATGGGGAAAATGTCAAAGAGACAACAACCTGACCAAAGAGCAGACAACAGCCGAAGGCCACCAATGGGTCTTCAATGCAATGAGAAAATCCAGCACCCGAAGGTGGTCCTCAGCTGGCCCCTAAATAAAATTGTGTGCTAGTTCAGTGAAAATGGACGTCACACTAAACTCCAAAACATATAAATGAACTAAAATTAAAAAACATACTAGACTAACAAAGGCCTGAGGCTCCTGACTTGGGACAGGCGCAAAAATACGGCGGGTTAAACATGTTTTGTGAGATCTCAACCCTCCCCCTATACCTCTAGCCAATGTAAAATAAAGAAACACATAGCAATACGCACAGTAAAACTCAGTTTAAAAGAAGTCCGAGTCCTATGTCAGAATAGGTAACAAAAGAAACTAAGCAAAATGACAAGGATACATAAATGAACAAAGGACTACTAGCAGTTACTGACATGCCAGCTCCAGACCTCAATTAAACTGATTAAAAGATTATGTCTTCATCATATGAAAATCAAGTACAACCTTCTTTATATGCCTATCCCAAGTCGGGAGCCTAATATCGAGTGGTTGTTGTTGGTTTGCCGTTAGCTATAATTGTTGTAGTATATATATCAAGTCATTAGTTTTCTCTTTTGAATTGCTTCAGTTTATAATAGCTTACTGAATGATATGGGTTTTGCTCATTGTTGAAGGCTGTGCAGTGACATTAGATTGCTCACATCTTTGTCCTTTGGTCTTTAATGGTGCATTGACAATCATACCATATTTCTTAATTGTTTGATGACAAAAAGATACTAATTTGGTGGAAGCACCAGGGTAAAGTATGCTTTATATTTCAGAAGGAAGAAGACCTGAATATTCTTGTATTCATATACCTTATGATCTAAAATTTCCTTCTGAAAAGTTTTTCAATTATATATTTTTGTCTCCCATGCAACGAAAGTTGCGGAAAGTGAGTCATAGGGATTGTGTTTCCAGCGACGGCAGTGATATCAACAATTGTTAAGTTTTCTGCTTAAGTTAGTTTGATAGGAACTACTTGTGATAGATCATTAATATTTAATATGAAATTGCATTACTATCAGCACATATCAGTTTGACGACTATTTCAATGCCAAGCCCCTAGGACATGGTCCTGTGACTTTGAATTACAGTAATAAGCAATTTTCAATGTTAAGTTTTCTGCTTCAGATAGTTTGATAGGATCTACTTGTGATAGATCAATGACATTTTGTATGAAGTTGCATTACTATCAGTACATATCTGTTTGACAGCTTTTTTGATGCCTTGCCTAGGGTTGGCAAAAACCCGGGTTTTATGAGTATTGCCCAGCCCAGTGGGAAATACTGGGAAAACCCAGGTTTTACTGGGTTTAACTGGGTAATACTGGGCAATACTGGGTAATATAAGATACTGGCCTGAATTTTAAAGAGGATTCAGTAATCAAACACAAATGCAATACATTTAAGATATTTATAAACATATTTTGGTTTATAAATAGGTTTACTTGTTTGAGAGTCATATAATACATACATGTACAAGTGTATACATTTGAGAAAGTAATATTCTAGCAACTCTGAGACAAGTGTACATGAAGACACATTAGACAAATATTAATGGAAAAAGCTTTTCTCAATAATTCTCCTAAAAATCTATAAAATCACCTTTTGTCTGGATTGGTCAAAGTGTTAATATAAAGCCAAAAAAAAATCATTTTTTTCAAATATATATAACTAATATTAAGAATTAACAATTACATCTAAGAAAAATTACTTTGGAATAATTTATATGTACAAATGTACATAACTAATTAATAAGTAATTATTCAGATTAGAACACAGATATGTTTATATAACAATAATCAGCCTTTTCATTATTTAAGTGTTAATGACAATACCCTGTAGGGTGTTTATTTAGCAATATGATTGCATATACAGTTAACTCTCGTTGTCTCGAAATTTCGGATGAGTCGAAGTTTTCTCGTGGTCCCGAACTTTGTTCCATATAAATATATGTATTTCGACTCCTGATGAGTCGAAATTGGATGAGTCGAAATTTCAGTTGACTCGAACTAAAGGAGAAGGTCCGGTAAGGGCTCGATTTGGCCTAATATTCGAAGTACATCTAATGAAAGATTTTTTACATTTTTTTAAACACGTAAGTGTCTACTTCAGACGATTCAATTAGTGTATGTAAAAGATTTGGACTGATTTGGTCATTAAGACTCTCAAATAAAGTCTTAAATACGAAAAATCTATCAAATATGCCATAAAACGTCACTTTTCAGATGGATTTTGTCTAAAATGAAAGTGGCCACATTAGTGTTCAGTCTCAACCTTCATATATGTTATGTATTATCATCAAATACAACATATATTTAAATATTAAGACTGAACACAAATGCGGCCACTTCCATTTTCGACAAAAACCACCTTAAAATTAGCACAAATGCTAAAATTGTGAAGATTTCAGTAATATTGCATGAATTTATGATGTTTTTACCCGATGCATGTGCATGGTATTGTCAAAATCAGCCCATATTAATGGAACAGAAGTATTCTTCTTTCCAATAAATAGCTAAAAGTTTACATTTTAACAAATTTGTAAAAATGCTATATTTTGGGCCCAAAAAGGGGTCTTACCGGACCTACTCCTTTACGGTCCCAAGGTTAACAAAAGCATTCAAAATTCATTATTTATCTCGAACTAATACACATGTGTCAAAACATGACCTCTGGGATTTAAATGGATTGAAGAGTTAACCTGACAATACACGTGTAATTAAATTTCCAGTCACTGACCACTGTATTGATTATTGACATTCTTTTTCAACGAGTGTTTACCTAAGATTATCTTTGATCAACATGATAAATAATTCGTGATGCATTGTTATAGTTAATGAAAAATTGTTTAAAATGTTTTAAAAACAATTAACTATAAACATACACTAATGAGCTTAGTTGTGTATAAAGTAGGGATAAAAACTTCCGTTGGTGATCAACTCAAAACTACTCAATCGGCGTCTTTAATCTTTTTGTATTTCCTCTTGCAGAAAAAGATTGAAATAAAAGAAAATGAAAAGAAATCTAAATTTTCTAAAATCTCTTGTATACGAGAATGAACAATTTTGTCAACTTTAAATAACGCTAAGATCGATTGGAAATTACTCTCTCGGCTAAAAACCACAGGAAAAAATTGTAACTGTACAAAGAAATAAATAAGAGAAGAATACATAAAATGTTATAATAATAAAAGACCATAACATACAGAAATATTTCTCTGGTCCGGCTGACTTCGAGATAACGAGAGTCGACTGTATAGCAATTTGATTTACAATTCACATAAACACTGCAATAAAATGCATTTTTTTCAAAGTTTGGATTATTGAAATAATGCTTGGAAATTAACAAGGTATCCTAAAATGTGCAAATCTTGTATTTTGCCTACATAGAATTTAAGTGGAGAAGAGATTGAAATTGAATTTTTAATCTTCTAGAAATGACTCTCAATGGTTATCTGTATAAAATGTATATATTTAGCTATAATACTTTGAAACGACAACAAGTCTTTACTATTTTGTGTTGAAATAAGCTTTAAAAATCATATTGCCCAGTATTGCCCAGTATTACCCGTTTCTGGGAGTATTGCCCAGCCGGGGAAAACCCTGGCAGGTAATACTTTGCCAACCCTGGCCTTGCCCCCTAGGTCATAGTCCAGTGACTTTGAATTAATTAGCAATTTTCAATGTTAAGTTTTCTGCTTAAGTCAGTTTGATAAGAACTGCTTGTGACAGATCAATGATATTTTGTATATAGTTGCATTACTATCAATACATCTTAGTTTGTCGATCATTTCTAGGCCCTGCCCACAAGATCATGGTCCAGTGACTTTGAATTAATAAGCAATGTTGCTGTCCATCAGATTGTCTTTTTCTGAATTTTATGTGGACAGGCAAGACATATCTCTGTGTCAAGAGTTTATTTTTTCAGTTATTACGAGTAATAGGAAAACTATGTTTGGTATGTAGAATAATTGCAAGGTATACATTTGGTTCAGACAAGGTTTCCTGACCATGACCTTATTTCATGGATCAGTGATCAATGTTAAGTTTTAACACTTATCCACAATGCTTATTACCACAAAACACATCAAGTTCAAAATTGGGTGGCGTCACTTTTACTGTTCACCAGTTATGCCCCTTTATAACTTTATATGCAGGCAGGGTCATCATCTGTGTCCCATGGACATCTTCTCCATTTATTTTCAGGTACTACAATTATATGAAGAAAGGACAAATTATGCAATGAAAAAGCTCAATTTTTCATCCTTTTTAATTTTATGTTGAAATATATTGGGGTAAAATAACATAATCTACATGTGCCTCTTGTAAAGGAACCTACAAACTCCTATGTGCAGTATTGAATTGGACAACATGGGTACAAAAGTATCAGGCATGAAAATAAATATAAATAAGAATAATAACCAAGCATTTTCATACATTATTTTATTTTAGTATCAAAATGATAATATAACAGTCCTTGGTAGTCATCATACTGTTGCCAATGTCTTCATTATGTAAAAAAAAATTATTTGAAAATTATGTTTATATGAACAAAAAGAGGTTATTTTTATGTATTTCATTTCATTCATTTATTTCATTCATTTGAATCATTATGGGATTATGTTTGAGTATTCAATTAAAGCAGGTTAAATGACTAGAACCAGAGGGAATTTATAATGCAAATAATTACTCTTATATAAATACAAAAAAATCTCTATTTGAATAAAGTAACTATGATCTGTTTTGTTTTCAGAATGGTAGAATACTAAGTCAATTTGTATCACCAAATACAGGAAGGATATATGGTCGTAAAATAACAGGTCTCTGTATACCAATGCAGAGAGAAATATCAAGATTAATAAAACAATCACGAACATTTGGTAGGTATATCTTTTATTTACTAGCAGATAAAACACAGTATGAATAGTTATTAGACAATAACGTACATGAAATCAATGTTTAGAGTTGACTTTATCATCCATGTCAATGCTCCAGATTTTATTGGAAACCTTCAGAGATTTGTTCTCCTTACTGGATTAATGGATTAATGGATTAATCTTCAAGTTCTTTGGAATGTGTCTTCCCCAGGAAAATATGTTTTGTACTTTTATTTATAGTATTGATAGAAGTTTATGATTATCATTACCGGTACAGCTTGAATTCAAAACTGGAAAAAATATCTGGTCATATTTTAGCACTAGTCTAGACCTAAAATACATTTGTTATACAATTTTAAAAAAGGTTAATAATTTTTATGTCCCCGCTGTAGTGGTGGGGGCATTAAGTTTTACCCTTGTCCGTCTGTACGTCCCTTTAACTTAAGTTTGCCACCAATGGATCTTCAATGCAGCGAGAAACTCCCGCACTCGGAGGCGCGTCCTGAATCAGCTGGCCCCTAAACAAATATGTATACTAGTTCAGTGATAATGTACGTCATACTAAACTCCAAATTATACACAAGAAACTAAAAGTAAAAATGATACAAGACTAACAAAGGCCAGAGGCTCCTGACTTGGGACAGGCGCAAAAATGCGGCGGGGTTAAACATGTTTTTTGAGATCTCAACCCTCCCCCTATACCTCTAGCCAATGTAGAAAAAACAAACGTACAACAGTACACAGAGTAAAACTCAGTTTATGAGAAGTCAGAGTCCTATGTCAGAAAAGGAAACAAAAGAAAATAAACAAAATGACAATAATACATAAATAACAACAGACTACTAGCAGTTACTGACATGCCAGCTTCAGACCTCAATTAAACTGATTGAAAGATTATGTCTTCATCATATGAATATCAGGCACAATCCCTCCTGTTAAGGGTTTAGTATTATACCGTCATAAAATATATGAGAAGAACATAACCCGTGTCATGCCAACAACTGGTTTTAGAATAAATATGTTTAATTCCGATGCAAAGACCCTATAAGTGAATCAATATTAAAGCAAAAATATGCAATCTTTAATGACCTGACAACAGTATCGTTACTATATCCCTTCTAAATAAGTCTGTTTAAAGGTTTTTTTAGCTTTTGAGGTGAATACTGACATTTTTGTGCTTTGTAAAGAATATTACCATAAAAGATTGGATGTGAAATACCCGAACGTATAAGATGTCTGCATGTTGAGTTATATTTACGAATGATGTCCTTATACCGATGATAAAATTTAGTAAATGTTTTGACTAGTTTATGATATTGAAAACCCTGGTGTAATAATTTTTCAGTAATACATAATTTCACTCGCTAAAATCTAATATGTTGTTACATACACGAGCGAATCGTACTAGTTGAGATATATAAACACCATAAGATGGTGACAAGGGAACGTCACCATCTAAAAATGGATAATTAACGATAGGAAATGAAAAATCATCTTTTTTATCATAAATTTTTGTATTAAGCTTCCCGTTAATGATATAGATATCAAGATCGAGGAAAGGACAGTGGTCATTGTTAGTATTAGCTTTATTTAAAGTAAGTTCAACAGGATAAATTTCTTTAGTAAGACCAAAATGTGAACAGAATCGGTTCTTGATATATCACCAATTCCCATGATATTATCATTAAGACCGAGAGGGTAGACTGTCTGTAATTTTTTAATCCAATTTAATTCAATTATTTTCCGTGATCTTACAAACTTTGAATGAGATTCAACAGGCAGCTTATTTACTACTTCTAAAGGTTGAACTGAAATATTTAATAGGATGATTGTGCTTTTTAAGATGTTGATAAATGATACTTTTGAATTTATTGGGTCTTTTAAAACGATACAGGTGTTCTTGCGTGCGTTTAGATAAATATCGTCCAGTTTCACCTACGTACTGAATACTGCATCCCGGTTTGTTTCATGTGAGTAAATAAATAATACTGTTTGTTTTTCAAGTTATATCAGTTTCAAAATTTAAAGAAAATGTGCGACCATTAAACGTAGACCTTACCGTATTGTTGGTGGAAAGACGGGGACATGTAAGTCATTTTTTGGCATGACACTTATCGATAGAAGGGTAACCACGATTTTTATTGTTAAAAATGTTAGCGATGGTAGTATTTTTAGATAAGCGATTTTGAAGATTGAGACGTGTAGATACCCTTTGAACGAGTTTAGTTTTTAATATTTTTCCATTTCTAAGCTTCATATTTGTTTTTTGTTATGTGGATTTTATTAGAAAGGAGCAAAGACTGGCGTCCAGAATATGAACCAGCACACAATGAATTGAATTATGTGAATATGATAAAACTGTTCGGCTAAAGACGTCAAACGCTATCCGTCATAAATAACCCGAAAAATAAAACAAAAGATAGGGTATATTAGGGTAGCGACTGACGTCTGACTAAATAGAAGAATGGGACTGAATGTGAAATACTACTTTTTGATAAATATTCCTAAAGTAATGAACATAGAGAAGTTCTAGCTCGGACACACACTCCATAATCTAGTATATTATAAGAGCATAAACCTGAAGCACGGGAGACACTCTACTGTCTCCACACGGCGCTAAAGACAAACTCTGTAAAAAATAAAATTGAGAATGGAAATGGGGAATGTGTCAAAGAGACAACAACCTGACCATAGAGCAGACAACAGCCGAAGGCCACCAATGGATCTTCAATGCAGCGAGAAACTCCCGCACCCGGAGGCGTCCTTCAGCTGTTCAATGGTTATTACCACAAAACACAGATGAAGTTTGAATTTTGGTGGTGTCACTTTAACCATTCTAGAGTTATGCCCTTTATAAATGGAAAAATTCCAAAATTTTTATTTTCTTCTAAATATCAAGTAATTTTTATCTTCCTTTGTCCATGATTATAGTTGAATAAACTACAATCAATGCTTTATACAATGCAGTGTTTAATTTTGACTTCCACTGATAAAACACAGATCAGTTGAATTTGGGTAGTGTCACTTTAACCATTATTGAGTTATGCCCCTTTATAAATCGAAAGATTGCAAAATTTTTAGTGTCCATTCTGTAACTTAAGTTTGCCCCAACCAAACATTATGAATCTTATACACAATATTCATTACCACAAAACTAAGATCAAGTACAAATTTTTTGTTTACGTTTTCTAACTTTAGTTTGTCTCAACCAAATGTTATTAAACTTATACACAACCATTCTAGAGTTATGCATGTTTACTAATAGAAAAATTGCTGAATTTTTTGTTTCTGTTCTCTACTTAAGTTAGCCTCAACCAAATGTTATGAGACTTACACACAATGCTTATTACCACAAAACTCAGATCAAGATCAAATTTGGGTACTGTCACTTTACCGTTCTTCAGTTATGTCCCTTTATAACTATATGATATGCAAGCGGGGGCATCATCTGTGTCCACATGTGGACACTATCCACATTTATTTTTTAATATTTAAAAATGAAAAAGGTTAAAATAAGAATAAGAAGATATGGTATGATTGCCAATGAGACAACTCTTCACCAGAGACCTTATGACTTATAAGTTTACAACTAATGTTCACCATACAGCCTTCAACAATAATAATTGTTTTTTTTTTAAATTTTCACCAAAAATGTTTATTATTGTTTATATTGGGTTTTTACCTTGAACTCGTCACACGTTACAATTCTGACAGAAAATTGATAATCAGCTGATTACATTTTATAGCTATTGGTAACAATGGACTAATTAACAATAATACAGGTGTTTAATGGCTTCACATGTCACCTAAAGGATTATTTTAAAAACTTTGAAAGAAATAATTGTTTTTGAAGTGGTTACTTCAAAATCGTTTTCGTGATGCACATGTTTTAGTACAGCATAGTTTTACCTCTCTACTTTGTCTTTAATCTATGGTTTGGAAAAGAAAACCCTTGTTATAAGAAAAATGTTCAAAAGTAACAATCTCTGACTTCAATCTTTAACCTTCTACTAGACGGGAAGTAACCGATAAACTTATTGAAGATGAATCCAGTGTTTGCGGAAGTCAAAAATGATGATTTCATCCATCTATATTGCAATTTTACAGTATCTTTAAAAACGTAAATGTTCATTATTTATGAGTGTTTATTTATAACAATGTTGATTAAAAAAATAGATATGAAGTAAACAACAATGATTCAAACTGACTTTTATGGTTAGTAAGAAGGAACGTTTTGAATGAAAAATATGTATATATTAGTTGGCGAAAAAAAAATTGAAAGTGGTGAAAAAAAATATTGTTTTGGCAAAAGAGGTGGCGAAAAAGAAAATTGACCCAGGGAAAACCCTGGTTTATAACATTTTTTTCTAAATAAAAAGGTTAAGAATTGTTTTTAGTATTTTTTTCCTAATTGATGCAAAAACTGACAGTGTGAATAATATTGCCTTGATAAATTGGTGTTTACTATTAAATCTGTATTGGTCTCATGGTTACTCATTCAATCAGGTGTTTTCAGTTAAATAAGGGGGAGGGGCATCCATACCTTCCATCTATAATAATACTTAATTCCAAAAGGAAGTACAGCTTATAGGATATATACAATGTTTGACAAACTTATTATACATGCACCTTAAATTATCACATAGACATATAATCAAATGTTAACTACATTTACAGGGGAGGATTCAGGCGGGGGCATGGCGGGGGTGCGCCCCCCCAAAAAATTTGCAAAGCATGGGTTGTCCTCAGCTTAATAAAGAATATTTCGATAATTTAACTTCAAAAATTTAAGTTTACGCCCCCCTAACCTAAAATCCTGGATCAGCCCCTGATTTAAATACATTAAATCACTCTTATACATTATACAATATTAAATATAACACAGAGTTACCATGGAAGTATTATATTGACTTTCATTTTACTTCCATGGTATTACCAAGTTTGTTTAGTTCTTTAATATTTTGTACAGATAATGATTGTATCAATTTATAAGTAGAGGGGTGTCTCCAATAATATTGTTTGATATATTTCCCCCTAATATCAACATATTTATTACATTCCAATAAAAAAGTGTAATTCGTCTTCAACTTGTATTACAATAAGTACATAATCTATCTTTCCTGTCAATATTATATCGTCCTGTCTCTATATTCAAATTATGTGCAGAAATACGGTATTTACAAATATAAGGTTTATAAATATAATTCACTTGTTTGTCTAAGTAAAATTCTAAAGTATGTGTACAAAAAATATCTTTATATAATTGACATTTATTTGAGACTTGAAAGAAAGCATTTGCTTCGCATATAAATGTATCAACCTTTCTCTCTTTTAATTCTCAGAAAAAAATCTACATTATCTACCTTTTGACTTAACCATGCATAGTTGAAGCCATATTTATGCAAAATATCTTTAATCTTACAGCACCAGTTCTGCTTATTATTTGGTTTTTTATTACAGCTACTAAACATTTCATCATAACAATTTTTTAATATGCAATTATCAGTACATAATAATTTTATCCAATATTTACCATTCTATATTCTCTTTCTACGCACATAGGTATTCTACTCAGTTCACAATTTACCTGATGTTATTAACCATACTCTTTTTTACTTTCAGTATACATTTAAAAAAATACATATGAACCCTTTCAATATCTGGTGCCTTATGATACCCCCAAATTTCACAGCCATAGTTCAAAATACTTGCAACACAAGTTTCAAATAAAGTTAAGTCAATAATGTTTCATGGTTATAATAGTTATCTTGTGTTTTATTAAACATACTATATACTGCTTTTTATAAGACCGCAAAAAAATTTTTTGCGGTTGTATATTGGTATGACGTCGTGGTCGTCTTTTTCGTCGTCCGAAGACACATTGGTTTTCGCACAATAACTTTAGTTTAAGTGAATGGATCTCTATGTAATTTTACCATAAGGTTAAATACCACAAAAGAAAGGTTGGGATTGATTTTGGGGGTTATGGTACCAACAGCTAAGGAATTAGGGGCCAAAAAGGGTCCAAAAATAAGCATTTTCTAGTTTCCAGACAATAACTTGTGGAACGGTGTATGGATCTCGCTGAAATTATACCACAAGTTTCCATACCACAAAGGGATAGTTAGGATTTGCTTTGGGGGGTTATGGCTCAAACTGTTTAGGAATTAGGGGCAAAAAAGGGGGAAAAACAAGGTTGTCCTGGTTAATGACAAATACTTTTGTACAAAACATAATGTAAAGCAGTGTAAGGGAGATAAATCAAATACATCATTTGAATTACCTCCCTTACACTGCTTTTAAATTATGTATAAAGCAATGGTTAATGAACAATTAAGACAATTTAAAACAGTGTAAAGGAGGTAATCCAAATACAACATTTTGGTTACTTCCCTTACACTGCTTTTAAATTATGTTTAAAGAAATGCATATTTATAAAGGAAGACCATGAGTAAAAATATCTGCAAATGTTGCATCTTTTTTTTTTACAAAAAAATCCATATGAAAGATTTGACACCATATTTTAAATTCTATTATAAAATAGATTAAGTTAGCACTTCGGTAAATTTAAATGGGTAATTATGGTCGCAAACTCCATTGGAAATTTGAATTGAGATTATGACCATATCTTGAGGGAAAGAATTTTTTGGGGGGAAAAAGGGGAGAGGGGGGTAAAAAGAAATTGTGGGTGGGGGTAAATTTTTTCTCATTTCAGATTTCAAAATTAAAAAGAATTATTCTTCAAATATTATTTTTTTTTCAAATTTCAAGAAGTAATCTTTAATTGCACACACAGTATGGCGCATTAGATTAGTAAAATCTTTGACCACATTTATTTATTTGTTATGCCGAATCTGACCGTGTATGTAGATTTTTAATTTTGTGTCCAGTTTTCAAATTGGTCTACATTAAGGTCCAAAGGGTCCAAAATTAAGCTTAGTTTAATTTTAACAAAATTTGAATATCTGGGGTTCTTTGATATGCTGAATCTAAACATGTATTTAGATTTTTGATTTTGGGCCCAGTTTTCAAGATGGTCCAAATTGGGGTCCAAAATTAAACTTTGTTTGATTTCATCAAAAATTTAATATATGGGGTTCTTTGATATGCTGAATCTTACCATGTATTTAGATTTTTTATTTGTGGGCCCACTATCAAATTGGTTCATATTGAGGTCAAAAGGGTCCAAAATTAAACTTTGTTTGATTTCATCAAAAATTGAATTATAGGGGTTCTTTGATATGCCAAATCTAACCGTGTATTTAGATTTTTAATATTGGGTCCCGTTTTTTAAATTGGTCTACATTAAGGTCCAAAGGGTCCAAAATTAAACTTAGTTTGATTTTAACAAAAATTGAATTCTTGGGGTTCTTTGATATGCTGAATCTAAACATGTGTTTAGATTTTTGATTATGAGCCCAGTTTTCAAGTTGGTCCAAGTTGGGGTCCAAAATTAAACTTTATATGATTTCAACAAAAATTTAATATATTGGGTTCTTTGATATGCTGAATCTAACCGTGTATTTTGATTTTTGGGCCCCGTTATCAAATTGGTCCACATTGAGGTCAAAAGGGTCCAAAATTAAAGTTTGTTTGATTTCATCAAAAAATTGAATTCTTTGGATTCTTTGATATGCTGAATCTAACCATGTATTTAGATTTTGGATATTGGACCATTATAGGTAAATTAAAATTTTTTAAGTTCTTAGACCACATTCATTCTGTGTCAGAAACCTATGCTGTGTCAAATATTTAATCACAATCCAAATTCAGAGCTGTATCAAGCTTGAATGTTGTGTCCATACTTGCCCCAACTGTTCAGGGTTAGACCTCTGCATTCGTATCAAGCTGCGCCCAGCGGAGAATTTTATTTTCCTTGTTCTGACAATCTCTTTTGTGTATTAACAAAATTCCTAGTGAAGTAAAAAAGTAAGCCTAAATACATAAACTCATTACAAATATCAATAATATTACCATTTAAAAACCATTTGTCTTCCAGTTTAGGCTTACCCCTATTTCTGAAAATTACTATCTTTGTTTTTTGTAAAATTAATATATAAATTGTTTTTCATTTGAGTAAGTATTGACACTGTCAATCATTTGCTGTAAATCTTGTACATTTTCACTAAATAAAACCACATTATCTGCATACCTCAGAAGATATAAATTTAACATTTTAAGCTCATAAGATTTACAATTTTGATTTATCAAATCCATCTCCATGTCATTTACATATAAAGAATACAAAAGAGAAGATAAGGATTCCCCTTGTATAAGGCCAACAGTGCACTCAAAAAATTCAGATACTAGTAATCTACCATTCATCTTAACACATGATTTCAAATTCATATATACTATCACTGCTGTCTTCTCTTCTCCTTAATCTCAAGAAATTTACAGTTATAACGATTGCTAATCACTATTACCCTTGTTGAAACCTGACAGAAGAATATATCTATTTCATATTATTTGTTTTAATTATTGAAAACATTTCCAGCTAAGGCAAATGATAATTTATATTTTTGTAATTACAAAAAATGTAATACTTTTTATTAAATTTTGTATGAAAATGAAACCAGCTTTGTACTAGATCGACAAACTCAGCCAAATTTTTAACAGGAAGACCTGGACATATTATTCTGACTCCTAGTCTTTGCTCTTATGCCACATGCTTAGTCAGAAGCAGCAAATACCTATTTGGTTTGAAACTGCTGGGGTTTGAACCAATGACCTCCCACACTTGAAGCAAGTACATTACCTTTGGACCACAAAGGCCGTTAACAATTATCTGTCATGTTAAAACTTATTTATAAGAATGGATTTAAACACATTTTGATTTACTGTCATTTAATAGTCGGAAGTAATCAGTATCAGAAATCTGGTTTCATTAGTAATTTATAATCAACTTATAACTTCCCGTTTATGTTTCTTTTCTCAAAATTGTAAGGAGCATGATTGATTCTTGGGGAATTTTATGACATTAAAATCATTTGTTTTCAACTGTTATGGCTGTTTCATTCCACTAATCTTTCTTTAAATATAACTGGTATACAAAGGCTTTATGGTCTGAGGTGTTTTTCTGGCTTATGTCTGTTGTCCTTGCTTGATATGTGTGTCTGATGGAATTCATTTGATCACCATTAAATTTTTGGTGATTAGGTCTGTTTTTCAGATACTATGGGCAATAGGTCAACTATATTTGGTATATAGAATGATTGTAAGCTGACACGGTGCATTTGATCGTGACCTCATTTGCATTATTGATTGGTCAACATTAAGTATTCTTCATTAGGTCCTTTTTTCAGCTATATAGGTAATAGGTCAACTTTATTCAATGGATTGAATGATTTTAAGGTGAAAATATCTCACATGGTTCATCAAACCTTGACTTTATTTCCATGGATCACTCAGTCAACATCATGGTTTCCAGATATTGTGCGTAGGTCAACTGTATGCAATGGATAGCATGAGTGTAGGTTGTAGATGTCAACTTAATATGTTTTTTCCAATCGACCTCATTTTCATGGTTCTTGGTCTTCATTTAGGTTTCATGAATAGGTCTGTTTCCCAAATACTGGAAGAAGGAGGTCAACTATATTTGATGGAATGAGTGATTTCCATCTGACAGGGTTCAAGTGACCTTGACAGTATTTTCATGGATCAATAATAATGTTAAGTTTCAATTAAACATTTACCTGTATTAAGACCTACCGTAGATGTTAAAGACTTTCAACATATTATAATTCAGTTATAACCAGTTACGCAGGTGAGAAATTTCAGTGTGAGCACTAGCCTTGTTTTACATAAATACATTTTGGTGACCTTTTGTTATTTGTTTTTGCCTTGTTATTTATTCAGTATTTTTTAATTTGAATGTATATACATATTGTTTTACTTCATTTAATTTTTTATTTTTTCAGGATTTATGCCATATACATACAAGAAGACTGAATATCTTAAAGACCCATTGCTGTTCAGTAGATTTAGGAGTTGAATGAACTGATATTCATTTAATTATTTTATTATATGGACTAGTAGTGTGCTTACCTTCTGAATATACTTAATAAAAACTAGAAAACTAATGAATTCATGTCGTGCTTCAGCATGTCCTCATTTAATTGTCTAGTTCTCTAACCAGGTTACTTGTCAAATGTTATAGAATTGGAAATCCTTAAGCGAAATGTGTGATTATTTTCATTGAGCCTGGGACATTTATTTAGCAAAAGGGAGATATAGAGATCCTAGATTCTGTCCCCGGCGTCCTCAACATTTAGGTATCCAGAGCAAATTTTTCCATATTTTACTGATAAATGGACTTCAAATAGAATTTGTGAAACTATGGCAGAAACTATTTTTATGATTTAGAAATAATGTTTGAAGCAAACTTGAAAATATTTTTTTATTGCATTTTCAGTATTTTTCTGATAGATGGACTTAGTTTTTAAATGACTGCATAAGTATTTTGGGGTCGTATATTGCTATCACATCATCGTCTGTGTCGTTTCCGGACAATAACTTTAGTTTAAGTTTATGGATCTCTATGAAATTTAAACAAAAGGTTCAATACCACAAAAGGAAGGTTGGGATTGTTTTTGGGGGTGAGGGTCCCAACCATTAAGGAATTAGGGGCCAAAGAGGGGCCCAAAACAAGCATTTTTCTAGTTTCAGGACAATAACTTGTGTATAAGTATTTTGATTGCTCTGAAATTGTACCACAAGGTTCAATACCACAAGTAAAAGGTTGGGATTCATTTTTAGGGTAATTGCCCAAACCGTTCAGGAATAAGGGGTCCAAAAAGGGTCTAAAACTATTATTTTTTGGGAAAAAGGGGGGGGGGGCAATTTTTCTTTTCCTCAGGATTTAAGAAATTGTCAATTTTCCAAAGAAAAATTTGGGGTCACAATTTATTTTGCTGATTCTTTGTATATAGTCTGAAAACAGATTTACTAAGTATTGTGCAACAGCACAGTGTATTGCACAACATCAAGAAATCTTCAGTTGAATATAAATTTAAATCATATAACCAATTTCAAGTTCTTTGACCACATTTTTTCTGTGTCAGAAACCTATAATGTGTCAAATATTTAATAACAATCCAAATTCAGTAGATAGATATAAGAAGATGTGGTATGAGTGCCAATGAGACAACTCTCCATCCAAGTCAAACTTTATAAAAGTAAACCATTATAGGTCAAAGTACGGCCTTCAACAAGGAGACCTGTATCAAGCTTGAATATTGTGTCCATTTTTGCCCCTACTGTTTCAGGGTTAGACCTCTGCGGTCATATCTAGCTGCGCTCGGTGAAGCAGTTTATTTTACAGCTATTGTGAACCAAATGAAAGTTTTCCACAGAGTCATCTCCTCTTGGTCAAAGTATTCAACCTTTTGTCTGTTCTTTTGTCCCACTGAATAAATACAATAGCTATTGTTCTCTGTGTAGTTCATTCACTGGGACCTTTAAATTTCTTCTATAGTGCCTAACAAAACAAGATTTTATGAGGTAGACAAATTGACATTAAAACAATCGTATTGAATTTTGATGTTCAAAAAAAGGCAGATCGGACATATTTTGACTTTATTTACTGACTACTTTTGTTTGGGATTAATTGTAATTATAACATTATAATGAGACTGAAAAATGTTTTTTTTTGTTAAGATAAACAATAATTTTACCTAGCATAGCCGTGCGTTTAATGCATTTCGGCATTTCTATTCGAAAAATGACTTGTGTAATGGAATAAAACGTCTGATTTTTAAACTTTCTCTTTTTTCTCCAGAATAGAATATTAAAAAATAATTTTTCTACTCTATATGTGGATTTGTGAAAGGCAATTCTTACCTGTCATACCTTTAGTTTCATTGATAAAAAAATAATATGGACTCGTCCGGTGTCCACATTGAAGGTCATTTAGGTTACTGAACACATTCATGCATGTTCTGAGTTCATCAATACATGTGTATGAAAAAAATAAACAGTTTGAAGATAAACTAATAATGACTCAATCCTATCAAATTGCGTAAGATTAAATAACAATGACCGGTCCACATTATAATAAGTAATAGGGGTAAATTGGGAAGGGAGAAAATGACCTATATTTTAAGTTCAATTTTTGCAATAACGAATACAAATTTGTCAACCAAAAGTTTTGCTATAATTTCAAAAACATGTCGTTCTGGATTGGTATAGTTTTCTGAACTTTCATTTGCGTATTTAAGGCAAAAAAAAGTCTACATAATTATAGACTTTATACAGAAAATACACCCTTTTAATACATTTAATGTTGCACAAATAATACATGGATACAAAGTAAAATCATTTCTTAAAACACTGCAAAAAAATTCATTCTGATTGGTATAGTGGTATTGTCATAAAGTGTGTTGAAATGAACTGTGGTCTAGCAAACATCAAATTCCCTCACAAAATGTTATCACGCACTATAAGAGAAATCCATCACTCATTGATTCATTTACCTGAGTAATAAAAAAATCATCTTCTATGTTGATGAAAATACATGTATTATTACTCACAGAACTGCATGTGATGTTAAAAATGAGAATGGGAATGGGTAATATGTCAAAGAGACAACAACCCGCACACAACAGATGAAGGCCACCAATGGGTCTTCAACGCAGTGAGAAAATCCGACACCTGGAGGTGGTCCTCAGCTGGCCCCTTAATAAAATTGTGTACTAGTTCAGTGAAAATGGACGTCACCCTAAACTCCAAAACATATAAATGAACTAGAATTTAAAAACATACAATACTAACAAAGGCCAGAGGTTCCTGACTTGGGACAGGCGCAAAATTGTGGCGGGGTTAAACATGTTTTGTGAGATCTCAACCCTCTCCTATACCTCTAGCCAATGTTGAATAAAGAAATGCATAGCAAAAAGCACAGTAAAAGTCAGTTCAAAAGAAGTCAGAGTCCGATGTCAGAATAGGTAACAAAAGAAACTAAGCAAAATGACAATGATACATAAATGAACAAAGGACTACTAGCAGTTACTGACATGCCAGCTCCAGACCTCAATTAAACTGATTGAAAGATGATAACTTCATCATATGAAAATCAATTACAATCCCTCCTGTTAGGAGTTTAGTATCATATGATCATAAAATATATGAGAAGAATATAACCTGTATCATGCCAACAACTGGTTTTAAAATAAATGTGTTTATTTCCGATGCAAAGACCCTATGAGTGAATCAATATTAATACCAAAATATGCAATCCTTAATGACTTGACAACAGTATCGTAACTATATCTTTTCCTAATAAGTCTGTTTAAAGGTTTGGTTAGCTTTTGAGGTGAATGCCGACATTTTTGTGCTTTGTAAAGAATATTACCATAAAATATTGGATGTGAAATACCTGAACGTATAAGATGTCTGCATGTTGATTTATATTTACGAATGATGTCCTTGTACCGATGATAAAATTTATTCAATATAAATTATATGTTTTCAATCTGTTCAATATAACACTGATTTAATCATAAAAATTTGATTTCTGACTTAAAATTTTATCAATGTTCCTTTTGAAATTTGCATTTTTTGTGTTTGTTTAGTTATAGAATACATTTAAGAAGGGCTTAATTTAAACATCGTCATTTTCCAGTTTTTATTTGTCAAACACACAAAAAGACAAATTTCAAAAAGAACAATGTTAAAAATTTGGACAGAAATGAACTTTTAATGTTTGAATAAGTATTTATATTGAATAAATACAACATCACATGCAGTTCTGTGAGTAATAATACATGTATTTTCATCAACTCAGAAGATCATTTTTTTACTCAGGTAAATTAATCAATGAGTGATGGATTTCTCTTAGAAGAAATTTAAAGGTCGCATTAAAATAAAATACACAGAGAAAAATAGCTATTGTATTTATTCAATGGGACAATAGAACAGACAAAAGTTTAAATACCTTGACCAAGAGGAGATGACTCTGTGAAAAACTTTCATTTGGTTCGCAATAACATTTACAGAAAGTCAAGGATTAAATTTTTTTGACTTGATAAATTTGTAAACCTTCATGAATTGGTATGAATCTTGGACAGGATGTAATTTTCAAGACCAAGAAATAGCACTTTAAGAAAAAGTTTGATTCTTTTTTTAAATTCTGTATTTTACTGATAAATGGACACACTTTTTAGGTCACTATTACACTTTTACACTGACAGCAGCAACTGCAGGCGAGACACAGGGTTCCGTGGAACTCTTTACAAATTTTTTAAATCTCACTTCAAGATGATCAATAGCAAAGGGAAGAGTATATAGGTTATAATGGTGAGTTTCTCTAAATTTTACCATGGCAGTGGTGTCGCTTCAATTGAGGCAATGCAGCAACTACCTCACCAACTTTTTTTACCAATAAAAGTTGAGTAGGATAAAGAGGGATTAATAAACAAAGTGAGGTGTATCCAAGAGTATAGAGTGAAGATGGTTCCAGTCAGGTCTCTAACCTTATTTATAAACACATATTTCTCATTATATGCTTAAATAGAGTTCTGCTATATTGTATAAATATGGTATCCTCTTACCAAATAATTCAAAGCTTGGTGACTATGTTGAACACATCTATCTAATCAAATCAAAGGATACAACAGATACATTTGGTGTCATCCTGGTTTGCCCACTTTTAATTACATGCATATATAAACATAGGGGGAATTGTTGTTTTAACAATTATAGTTTATTTCTGAATTATAGTCATATTTTTTACCTTTTATTTTACCTGTAAAATTTTATAAAAGATATTATATTCTGCTATTAGATCAAGGAAAATGTGCAAAAATATTCTATATTTGATATGGTTTTTAGCAGGAAAATGTATTTAATTTGACAAATAGAAAAAAAATAGGAAAAATGTGTACAAAAATGTTTATTATTTTTACAATTTATCAACAAATAGTTTTAATTATTGGTACATTTAAAAAAAAAAGTAAAAAGTAAAATAATGAAACTAAAGATTAGAATAAATGTCATTTGAATTTGTTTTTATTTATTCAACTTATTTTTTTCAAATTTTTAATAAATACACTGTTCTGAAATCTAACAAATAGAATATAAATGC